TTCCTTGCAATTTTTTTCCTTTCTTTTCTTTCAGAGAGTCACTGGGCGACTACAGGCTCATAGGACACCGCCTGCCCCAATACCTCATCGCGAAACTTCTCTTTTCAGGAGCACACAATAATGTAGACCGGGTGACAGATGCCATTTCAAGTTTGCCTCCATAACGTGCTTCTTGATGGGAGGGATGGGAAATGGGAATGGATGAATAAGCGATGATGGACGCTATGGAATTACAAGGCATCACATTTTCTGTGAAACAGAGACCAGTCGAGACAAGGGCACCCTTTTAGGGGCGACAAAGTTAAAAATTCACCTTGCTCTACCAATAAAATGATCGTTAATGATTGATTCAGCAAGAAAACAAGCAGAGTTAAGAAAAATCTAGGTGAATTCATTCCATGCCTCTTCGATCTATATGACGTACCAAGGCCCAACTGGAAAGGATGTATGCACGTACAATCGTTTTCGCTGCAAACGCTGGAGCTCTTCAGGATGTCGGCTTTGACGCAGCGCCAGCCCATTTCCCTAAAAGCGGGCGGGCGACAATGACCAATGGAAAACGTGATGGCTCCACGTAAAATACGCCCCCTTACCTCCTGTCACGCCCCAGCGTGTGCATACTATTATAGATGCGGCCTCGCTATCGTAACTGAATACTGCGTCCAAATGTCGAGGGTGTTCAAAAGGCAAAGGGTTCCATTGCTCTCTTCGTTAAAATTATGGCTGTATCACTTAAGATTTCAGATATGGATGTGTCATGGCCGTACGCTGTCTCTGCCATGGCTAGCATTATGACGTTGCCCTTATACGTTCTTATAATGATCGCAGTAATAAGTCGCGAAAAATTGACACCATTTTATGCTTTGATGGCTTCACAGGCAGGGATATACGAATTTAGTATGACTCCAACCGAAATTCAATCGGTGTTTCAGGGCCTTGCTGATATTTGGTCATTGGTAAATTATCTGCTCGTTACTTTTCTACGTGAATCCCAGCTATTTAATGTATTCTTTTGGGAAAATCGACACTTTATTGCCAAATACGAGCACACAAATATATGCTTCTGCACTTTTCTCAGATTTGTCGGTATCACTTTGATGTCACTGCAGAGATACATTGGCGTTTGCCAACCTGGAGGAAGAATTGAATGGGTATTTGTTCAGATACGATTTCGTTTGGTTTCTCTCGTATTTTCCAGCAACAACATATAGGACTGCTATGTTTTGAAAAACTCCCTAAGAACCGGAAATTCGCTCAGAGGCAGTGTCTCACTTGAGGGGAAAAACTGAATG